CTACCCTATGTAACTTAAAAACAATGTTATGTATAAGTCTGAGTGCAGATAATTGTATTCTAGTTTTATATAGAATAACAAAGACCTGTGTAGTTCAGTAACCTATATACAGGAAAAGGAATTCAGCTTAACTCTCCCACAGCAAAATGCTGTGTTTGACTGTAGCAACCCTCAGTTTCTTCCCTGTAATGAGACCAGATGTGTTCCTGTCCAGGGCTTACATATTTCTGAATAACAGACAAAAGCTAAAGGTTGAGAGCAGCTTTCTTGTTTGCACTAGGAAAATTGAAGTCTACAATGTAAGCAGCTTATCATCTGAAATATTTATGCATTCTTCCCTATAAAAGCACCTATCTTCTCTGCAAAAGTACAGTGAAGCAAAATGCACTTCTGGCTGCTTAGAATGGCTATCAAGGGCATCTAAATTGATTATTGTGAATTTCAAATTATTTTCTTCTTTGGTTCTCTTTACTGCGTCTTTTGTCTTTAGAGAGCAGGTCAACCTTCCTGGAGGGCACACAAAATCTCTCTGTATGCAATGCTTACAAACAAGGTCCATTGCAGGAAATTACTTCCAGTGTCAAATGTTTTGCATTAAAGTTGTCCACCCAGTGAACCCTTCTTACTCAAGTTTATTTTGATACTTGATGAGTTTAGGGCAACAAAAAAGCAGAAGTACACAGATCAAAATCCTTCTTCATTACTTAGGCTACTCTCAGTCAGAGTGGATACTTGATAACTGCACCCTGTGGTTGGAAAGGGAAGGAGGGTACAATAATTTAACCATTAGTCAAGGTTTCAAAGACCTATATTCAGTTCTTAGCTATCAAGTGATCCGTCATCCATCTATGAAACACTTTCAACAGCTGTAGCCTTTTTCTGTAAGAAGTCTTATGAAAGTGAATGCATCAGCACCAAGAAAATATCTGGATATCATACAGCTGTGTCAGCCAGCAATGCAAGCAATGCATTGGACAGTGCAGCAAAGAAAATATTTTCCCATTTGCCATGTTAAGCTGTGAGTCTTAGAAATGGTGAAGTAGTGTGACTTTCCTCTTCCATTGATTTTCAGCATTTTAGCATTTTTGTAGCCTTCTGTAGTCCTTTCAGCTTCCTTTCCAAGTCAGAAGATAACTCACATGTTCCTTCTGTACCTTGCACATCAGACACACAACATCAGGACATGTGGTGGTGAGCAGGTGTTGTGCAGATCCGTGAGGGAACAGGAAGTTTCCCATGATTTCTCCATCTATGAGAAAACCCAGAGCACTGGTGTTATAGATATGTTTCTCACTTGAGCTATTAGGAACTTGATGAAATTGCAAACACTCTCATCTTCTCTTCCCTGAAGTTTTTCTCTAGCCTTGGCTGAAATTGCAACAAATGCTTTCTTTGCTTGGAGGGAAAATAAAAGTAGAAGGCAAAAAGTGAGAAAATAAAATTATCTTTAAAATGTAGTTGGAGCTGATGCAGTAAATTCAGCTGCTCAGTTGCTGCTTTGCAGTTGTTTGTTGTTTCTGCCATCACTCACTAATGTAGTTGAAAAGCTAGCTACTGAAGTCATTGAATGCCATTTGATTTATTTTTTCCTCTGTTTTATATCCAGTATATATTTTCATAAGTTGGGCTATCATTACAGTGAAGGTGAAATTTCTGTCCTTTTTCTAGAGACTAATTGTATAAGAAAATAAAACCCCAAAATATTTATAGTATCAATTGCAGTGTATCTGAGTATACCTATAGTCTAAAAATACTGATTTTAATTAGTGACCTCTTTGGGGTGAGGCAAGAGCTCCATTTTTAGTTACAAGATATTGGAGGAGGTGGAACTCCAGGAGAGTTTCAGGGCAATAAGTAGCACGGATTTTGGTAGCACATTTCCTAGCCCAGCAGAGGAGTGAGGAGGGTTCGTGACTGTGCTGTTCAACCTCACAGCACGCTTGCACTGTACCTACAATGTGACTGAGACATCTTTAAAACCACAGTGTTCTATATTAAAGAGCCCAGTGATGGTTAAGTGATTAAAACACAGAGGAGTAAGAACTGCTAGATTGCTAGAACTGTAAGACTGCTAGAACTGCCTGCTATTATGGGGAAGCAATTATGTACTGAATACCTAAAGGCAGATATATTTGATGGAAAGAACTTGAACTAGGCTTCTAAAGAATAACTGTGAGTTAATCAGTGATATAAATCAAGCTTTTCAAACAGTTGTATTAGAGAATTCTCCTTTGAGTTCTGCTTTTGTGTTCCCATTGGCTTTTCTGTGTGTATTCCTAAAGTGAAAGGCAAGACAAAATTACTCCATCAAATTATTTGCTAGAATTATAGTCTGGCACATTCTGCTGTCTGACTAGCCCTGGTGAACAGGGTAAATATTGCTTTGAAAACTGAATTCAAGGTTATCTGATTCACAAAACCTCAATCTTAAATATGATATTAGGGAAGGCAGGGGGTGGGGGGAACTTTTATCTTACACAGTGTTATAAAATAGTAATTGCAATTGGACAGCAGTTTTGTCTTGTTAGTTCTGTTGTTCTGAAACAGTAATGATAGAAGACCATTTCCTTGCCCGTATCTAGACACATGCAGATGTTACTGCAGGGTACCTCGGGAAGAAGCTACTATTTGCTGCCCGGAGTAACAGCCTGTGTGCGTGCTGTGACCTTACAATGAGTTTCAGTCATCTTGCTCCCTTTTCACTAAACCCAAGTCCATTCAAGCTTTCATTTACTGCTGCATAAGAACATATAACTGAGAAAATAGATAATATTAACTTATTCCTCTGCTTGAGCTATTCCATAGCTCTGTGCTGACTTCAGAAGAGCAATATCTGGTTCTGAGAGTAAAGGGGATCAGACTGGGGTTCACAAGCTGTGGAATTTTCAACAGGGCCTGAAGGAGAGGGGTCAGTACCCATTTGTCCGTGAAGCTCCCTTACACCCTTGTGAAAGTACCGTGTGCTGTGCTTATCTCTGCATTCCTAGTTACTAGTTCCAGATAGTTTAGGAACAGTCAAGTTATTGCTCCATACAGTGATGAACATGATACACTGTTCATGTGCTATCATCTGGGACATCTGGGTGATTTAGGGACAAACAACTATCAGCAGTAGGTTAGGATATATGAAAGGCTTGTGCAAACTCTGCTGAAGCTAGTGTGAGTTTTTCCCATGACTCTGATTTGAAGCTAGATAGAAACATTTTGGCATGAAATTTATGCATACTTCTTAGGCAGTGTCCCTGTAGGAAAGTGTGGAAATAAAACATTGAAGGAGGGCTTAAGAGAGACTTGCTCAGCTGTGATCAGTGGTGCACTCAAGACTGTGCTCTCAGGCATGCAAGCTGGTCTGCTCCAACTTCACCTACTCCATTTACAGTGTATTTACCTGTTACATTAAGGAAGAATGAAATGTTTGGTGGTTTGATCTTTTAGATGCTCTTTCTGCTCCAGCTGTTGTCAAATACAATGAATTGTTACACAGCTGCTGAATTTATGCTGTTGTATGACTGCATTTGTAAGGAGGAAAAGCCCAGTCTGAAATGAGCCTGGTTTCTCAATGGCAGGAGCAGTTGCAGCAGGTGCTTGCTAAGAATACCTCTGGAAGAGAGAGGAAGAGCAAGTGTGCCTGTATATATAATTTTGCACACTGACACTCTTCCCAAGGCAACTGAGGAAATAAGCCAGCTAAGGTTGAAAATAGCAGCTATTCGACAATCATTTTGTCTAATTCTACAAAGATTTAACCAGACCTGTGTGTTTGTCATGAGATTCATTTTAAGAAACAGCTGTTCAAAGAAATCCTCTTATTTTTTTGCTGCCAGTCAGTATCAGTTTGCTTCCCCAGTAGTAAACATTCACCTCCACCGTGTGTCTATGTATTCAGCCAGTGGGAATTCACACCAAGCAGTCAGCACATCTTTATTACTGAGAATTTGCGCTGTGTGCAGATGTTCCTGCTGTTAACTTGAAAATCTGGCTGTATAGTGCCAGAAACATTTATGAATGTGGGATTCTCCTCCTGGGTCTGCTGCTGAAGCCTGATCATTTGACTGTAGTTAGTGGAGATCTCACAAACAATACACCAGCAGGACTGGTACAAATACTACTCTCAAAAGAAGTAGTTACTCGGGTGACCAGAAGGAGCTGCTCAGGTGTGTTTATTGTTGGTTAGAAGGTGCCTTTGAAGGTAAAATCTTCTAAGTAGTCACAGAATAGGTGCAGCAGTGTAATGATTTCTGACAATGTCTTCCAGCACTGACCATAATAAGACTCTGTGCCATGGTGTCTCTTCTTGAATTGATACCTATACATTATAATAATGTGGTTTTATGTGGATAACTCTCCACGAGGAACCAGAGAAGGATATTAATTTACACTGTACAGTCATCTAATTAAGTTGTTGAAATTAAAATTACTTTTGGTCACATTACTTTGGGCTGACTTTTAGTAATGTAAGAGCATGGTAGATGCCACTTACATGTATTAGAAGGGCTGGGAAGAGAGATGGGTATGAGATGGTAATGTTTGCAGGTTATTAGCTTGTTTAGGATAGATAAATGTGGAAAGAGTGAGAAGCTTCACAGGGATATAGCCAAATCTGGGTATGGACAGTAGGCTGTGCAAATATGTGGGTGTATCAGTGAGTATTGGGGAGCTTGAGGCACGTAGGATCTATTAATACATCTCATGTGAGTTAACTGCAGCCACAGAGCCAAGGCACTTACTACCACTGACTGTCTAATGGTGCTTCCTTAGCATCATGCTTTAGAAATAAGTTCTATCTATTATGGATTACAGGACAAATTTATAAAATTTCTCATATTTTGCCCAGATATTGGCCCCTCACAGAAAAAAATACCATGTCCTGGATGATCTTGAGTGAACTAATCTGCACATAAGTTTTTAAAAGATAAAAGGCTTTATAGACCATTTCCATTCTTCTGAATCATTCCCATTATTAACTTCATCTCCTTATAATACTTCTTTTCAACAGGAAGCTATCAAGTGGATTCCAAGAATGTGGTCATCCTGACCCAGCTCATTCAAATTCATTTGTCTCGTGATAAGAATTATAGACAGAATACACCAGGTGTACAGAAGAAGACAAATAGTTCAGATGTCTATGTGGAACCACTGTAAGTAGATCTTTTCTCTCAAGTAATGTAATTTTATCTTTCTGTATCTAATTGCAGGTGGTTGCTGAATCTAATTATGAGATTGCTCTGCTTTCTGTCTTAGCAATGTCTCTAAAGCCTGAAGCAATGAGACAAAAATCAAGATTATTTAAAATTATATGGAGTGATAGATTCCACTGTAGCACAGAAGGATATTTTTCTCCAGCTTTCATAGAATTCAGTAGTTTGAAACTATGTTGTCTTCTTTTATGGAAAAGTTATAAAACCTCCTGTAAGGTTAGAAGATTCATGAATTGGTTTAGTAGTCAATCACCAACATGTGAGACAGAGACTGAACTAGCCAAGCATTCTCTTAGGTACATTACCCCCAAAAGCTGTTTCTGACACTTCTAAAATGTAAATGATGATGTGATGCTTCTGCTTTGGTGATAATTTACTGAATTACCTGCCACTTGCATGAGGATTTCTGTTTGCAAAAACAGACACAGCTGGTTGTTCTGCAGTGTTAAAGCATATTGGTGGCCTCCTATTCATGGTCAGTGTGCCACCTGGAACACAACTTGGGAGTCTCCTTGCCAGCCACAGACCTCTGACACTTGAGCAAGACCTGGCTCACCATTCAACCACATTCATACCTAACCCCATCTTTTAAATTATTCAGCAGGTTTGATCCCTGCACTAGAGGGCAGTCAGAGCCAGCTGCACCAGCTGGCAGACATGTTACACCAGCCCAAGGAAAGGTGGGACAAGTCTCAGGACCTGCTTTTTAGTCCCTCAGTCCCTTAGTGTTTGCCCTTTACCAGGGCCAGGAATGAGCAGCACAGGTTCTGCCACTTCTTTCATGAATGAGAAACTGAGATGCAGTGGCTGAAGGCCATGATTTCACTAGGACAGGGCTTCGACAGCTGGCACTGGTTTCAGTAAACATTTAAGAGCTTGCGATTGTCTGGAAAATCTGTGTCAATAGGTTTAGCTAGTCCCTTATACGACCACTGAAGCCATCAAAGCATTTCTGTTCCCTGCAAAGCTTTGTGCTATTCACAAGTCCAATTGACCTGCTCAACATCACCTTCATAAAATGACTGCATTCACTTATTTGGAAGGTCCTGCAACATCTTAAATCCTGTTTGAATAGTAAGCAAGACAATAGCAGTATCCATTCCCTCACCTGATTTCTCCCCAAGGCAGCTGAACATGCCTGGCTTCTGGCTGTAGGCTGGCATGGGCTGTGCCCTGTGGCATGTGGCATGACAAGGACAAGGGGTTTGGTAGACTCTTTAGGAGTGTGGGCTCCCATTAGACAGAATTCACCCAATATTTGGAAAGGTCTGCCATCATGTGAGTAGGGAAGTGTGTGTGAAGAACAAAGCAGAGGTAAAACTAGAATTTGATGGAAATAGGTCTGGGATGCTGAGTATTTGATTTATTTAGGGAGAAAGGAATTTTTCTCCCTCTTAGCCAGCACTGAATCATTAATGTATTTCTGAATTTGTCTCTTGAGAAGGTGGCATTGCTTGATGCCTCAGACAAGAATCTAAACTTGGTGGTTGCTAGTGCAACCTGGCCTAGCAGATCCTGTGCTGTGTTGGAGGAAGAACTCTGGCAACCGCCTGCTTGGATATTTCTGCCCTTGTGTGCAGCCAGATTTACAGCACCACAAACATGAGGAAATGATATCCAAAAAGGAACTTCACAGAAATACCATGCTGATAAGTGAATAGCAATTTTTTGTAAAGAGCAGTTGACTTTGCAGACTGACCACAAATGGATTTTGGGTAAAAGCTGGGGGTTTTCCATCAAAAAGCTGAAAAACGGCAGAGAAACAGAGGATGTCTTATTATCTCTGGTTGAGGGCCAAGTCACCAAGCCATCTTGGTCAATCCTCCTCCTCCTTTGGTGCTCACACGCAGTGCTCAAGACTGTCTGCAGCCCCCTAGCCAAGCCTGGCTTTCCACCATCTGCACCACACAACCTTTTCTTTGTGCCTGCTGCTGCTGTTCAGGGTGCTGCCAGTTCAAATGGCAAACATGGATACAAAGCATTACCAAAAGCAAAGCCTCGTGTGGAGGGGACAGTGTGCATCTGGACCTGGTCCAAGGTGAGTAAGTCATGTTTCTTCCAGGAACCAGGAAATATCTTCGGGGGATTTTTTTTCCCCTCCCTAATTCCTGCCTATTGTACTTATAAAGGACTGGTAATTTTTAAACAACCTCAAAGCACAAGGGGCACTCTGAGATTTTGCTTTCTCAGGTTTCATATCTGTTTACCTTACAGTAAGTCTAAATTAATAAAGGGCAATAGTACCATCTCCTTGCTTTGTTTTTTGGCTGGCATTTCCAGTCTGGTCTGGAACAGCTGAACCTAGGAAGGGATTCCCACTGTTGTCAAGGGCTCTAAATGAATATTCCAGAGCCAGTCCTAGGTTTCTTTTATTTTGCATGCCCTAGACTCCCACCAGTTTCACTGGGTGCTGACACTTTTTGCCATCAGATCCCCCAGCAGGGATCTATCTCCTGTGCTGAGGCTATAAGAGATTCGTTTCATTTCCCTGTCCTGTATGTAATCCTTTTCTGCAGCATAAAAACATAGGAAGTACAAAGCCCCACCATTCTGATTTCATAGTTTGTGCAACACCTTGGCACTCCCCTTCTGTAGGGGACTGCATGCAATGCAGGATAGTGAGGAGGAGGAGGAGAGCTAGGGCCTTGGGAAGTGCTTGTTCTGATGACTGACACTTGGTAGCTCTTGGAAATGACCAAAATAATTTTAAAATAAACCTAAATCCAAATCCTTCTTTAAAACATCAAGGTCCTTTCCTTTTTCTCCTTCCCCTTTCCCTTTCATCCTTTTTTTTTCACTTGTCTCCTTCTCGTTTTTATGTCTCCTCTCCTATGAGCACCAAGATTTCTTTTAACCTTCCTCTCAGTTGAGACCTCTCTCAATTTTTCAGAAATCTCTGGCCTCAAATGGGAGCTGATATGACAAAACCCCATGAGAGAGGTCTATTCTTACAGTATTTCTGGCCTATTTTTGTTGTGAGGAGAGATGGGTGTCCTCTGAAGCTCAGAATGGTGTCTGGGTTTTCAGATGTTTTCCCTGACCACTGTGGCACTTGTCCATCACTTGTCCAGAGCACATACTCTGTGTAAATTACCTATCTGCCTAAGGGAAAAAGGAGTCACCACAGGGGTGAACTGCTGTCAGTTTGGAGAGTGAAAGGGTAGGAAATGTCACTCTGCCTTCTCTTTTGAAGGGAAAACGGTGAGACAGTATATCATAAAATGACCACTTGAAAGGTAGAAAAAGACAAAAGGACTGAACTCAGTCACATTTCAGGTCAGCTGGGTGCCAGGGTTTTTTTCATCCAAGGTATGAAAGCTGTTTCAAGCTTTTTTCTTCATGGCAGTAATAGTAGACAAGGTTTATGAATAGGAAACTGGAAGACAGAGACATAAAAAGGACAATTGCTTCATAACACAAAGGTGGGGCTATTCCCAAGGAGAAAATGGTGGCCCATAAAGCTGGACTTAGACTACTTTTGGATGAGGCAGCAAGGTATGCAGTAGCACAATTCCATCAGCCTGGTGCTTGCTCTGGTGCTGACAAGGGACTTGGCTACTTGTGCCTTTTTCTGGAGCTTTGTTAGCCAGTTTAAAACCAGCCTGTTTTTGTCAGTGCAGGCTGAGGTCGAAGATGTGATTTGGGTTGTGAAAGAAATGGCAGACCAGAAACTGCAACACACCCTGGCACTCCATGTCTTCTCTTTTTCCTGTATTATCCAGTACTGTCTCACCTTTGTCTGTCACCTTGCACCAAAAATAACATCATATCAGACTGATTCCTGGCATATCATTTTGGGAGCACAGACATGCTGGACTCTGTCAATGAAGTTTATATACCACGAAAAGAATTCTTAAAAAGAAATAGACAGTTCTACAGTTCTCTAAAACTCTTCATTGACCTGCATTAAGACTTCCACATAAACCTCCTTAAAAGCTCTGCAAGTCAAATCCTACTTCCTCAATGCTTTTTCTCATAGAATTTGGTGGGACTCAGATGGCATGGTTAATTTGGAAGGCAAATACCACAGAGATGATGCCCAAGGATAGAAGTCCATTATATTGCCATCATGGTGCAGAATATATCCAGGCAAGGGCAGAAGAGATGGCAGAACAACAAGCCCTATTGTGTTTCACTGCACTAAGAACCAATTCCATGGCAGCAATGATGTTGATTTAGTGGTAATTTTACATAACAGTTTACCAGACTAGCACTGCAATTCCAAACAAAGCCCTAAACCTTTAATAATAATGTCTGGGTTTAAAGGAAGATGTATTTCACCTGGTTTTGCCTCTTTTGATTTCCTTTTCCTTTGGAAAAATGCCCAACAAAAAGCATGTGTTTTACTTGTACACAGTAGTACATAAAATGAGAAAACTTTCAAAATTTTTCTCTTCTTGTTTTAGAAGTGGATTCAAGCCTATAAATAGATGCATTCTTTACAGCATTAGCAGTTTGTTTCAGTTTTAATCAGCCACATGATGCTATCCCAATATAATTTAAACTGTAATCATCTTTTGTCCAGAAGCCCATATATTAGCATTGCTAATAAGAACTTACTAAGGTGGCACTCAGGGGGGTTTTATCCCCTGAATGCTGCCAAGTAGTTAAGTAATAATATAGTCAGAGATTTGAAAGGCTGCAGTTGAAGTACTCTCCCTAGTTATAAAATGACTCTTCTGGGAACTAACCATCCAGTTAGTACAATTACTTATTTCCAGTAACAGCAGGTCAAACCCGGTTCAAAGGTAAAATACCTGGTGAAATGTAATGGCATAGTTTACAGGGAAGTTCCTCTCTGAGAACAAGTATGATCACCTTGAAGCAAGTACATTAAAAATCCTTGAAGATTTGTACTGTACACGGTGTTGCTAGAAATGCTGCTTTATTCAAATTCTAATATTAAATTTAAGCAAAAAATGAATAGGTTTTTTTCTTCATGAATGGGTTGTGGCAATGTGTAGGGCAAACCCAGCTGACGCTGAACTCTAAAATGCCTGATTTAGCAGAGCTCAGGTGAAATCCAGGAAGAATATTGCTGTGCATGGCAATCTGGAAGCGTGCACATAAGCAAATGTTCTGGTACCATGGACATTTTAGATCTGAAATATATGTGCAGCCTTTCGATCAAAGGGTTCCTAAGTGTTTTATTATGCTGATCTATCTAATAATATTGAGCGAACTCCAAAGTACCAGTATCTGGTAAACATTCACTTACCCACCTCTGATATGGAGCAATTGCAGGGCTTAATCACAGTTACACTCTAACAGCATGCAACAAACTAATTTCAGTTTTGTGGCAGGAAGACTGGAAGCTCTTACACATGAAATGACAGGAGAAAGTCTTGCAGCTGATACCCTTGCCATAGTTTCATGTGTACGTACCTCAGTCTTTCCAACGGAGTAGAGGAGATGGAATGTGAGCTTAGGGGCAAGATCCTGAGTCCTGCTTGGGTATGGGGATTGCCCTGGGAGTTCTCATGGAGGGGAAGGTGGGGAGGGTGCGCAAGCACTGGCCCAGTACAAAGAAACTAGTAGCAACTGAGATCTCCTTGAGGGTACCTAGAGCATATGAAGGGGGAGGGAATGGGGACACAGACCTTCAGTGGTGGGTAGGTGGGTGGCTTTGGGAAAGGGGTGAAGGAGTGTGAGTGTTTGCAAGGCCTCTTCACCCGTGTTGTGTGGTGTTGCACAGGTGTCTGTGCAGGCAACAGTGGGGACTTCAGCACCTCTGCTGTGAGTCCCAGCTATTCTGAAATATCTGGCACTGAGTGTGTACAAAATGCCAGTTGTTGTCAAGGCTTGGAAGCGGTGTTGGTGGCTCCAAGTGGAGATGGCCCAGAAATGGCACTTCTGGGTTAACCACTAGTGGCCAAATTAAACACAAGGTGCTGCAGCAAATGGGTGTAGGCTTGTCACAGAAGGTGATTGAGAGTACCAGGAAGGGCGGCAGTTCAGTAAAGGACAGGGCAGCGTGATCTTAAGACAGACAAATGGCAGGAAACTAGAGGAGGAAGAGAAGGAAACACTCATCCCATATTCCTTGAAATCTCTCACTGGCTCCTCATTCATCAGGCTTAATGGTATTGCCACACTTTTCTGGCATTTGAATTGGGAAAGGTTCAAATGTTGTTCAAATGCTGAATACGGCAAATCAGCCAGAATCACCATTTTCTTCTGCCAGTGGGACAGAGAAGAATCACAATTTTGCCTATTGCAGGGGAAAAGGGAGTTAAGTTGTTGGAGCTGGGGTATAATAGCACTTTTTCTAGGTATGCATGGGGTTTAGTTGTTGGTTTTTTTCCTCCATACCAGGCTTTTCCAGCTCTGAATTATTTTAGTTAGAGCATGTTACTATTTTAATCTTCATCAGTCCTAACCATTGACCTAGTATGTCTTCTGAAATAAAATGCATTATTTGATATGGGATAATTTGTGTCAGTTTAAAAAAATAAATTGCATGCTCACCAAACAAAGAGAGCCCTTAAGGACCAGGTCTCAGGCTCTGTATTTGCAAATGAGTGCTGACTCAGGTAATTGAGTTTTTGGCAAGATTGTGAGCACCCCACAATGTCACAGTGAGGCACAAAATATATTTAAGCATCTATTTGCAAAGATCATTCATGTGCTCACCCCATTTGTTTACAGAACTATCCTAAATAAAAGGTCAAAACATCATTGTAGTTTAGCTACAAGATTCTGAAAATAAAGAACAAGCAGCATGATTTCCTTCTCAAATTCAGTGTATTATGTGTTAATTTAAAACTTTCCACTCCTGTGGAGATCAAGAAGTCAACCTAGCTAGAGGCAAATAGTGAAGATAAAGACTTTGAATTGTTCTGACCCTGCAAAGAGAAAATCCCAAGCACACAAATCAACTCTTCTATCAGTAAAATAAATCAGGTCCTTAACATTTTCACAGCCATATCTGAGTCATGGGGTTTTAATAACACCACCAATAATGCCATTGCCAATTATTTAATTATTCAAGGAAGAACATCCCCAGCCTAGGCTTTTGACCAACTCTCATCTTGCCAT